GAGCTGCGCGCTGCAGCAGAGCCGCCCGCCTCGGTCCAGCCCCTTGAGCACTGAGCATCGGGCAGGAGTTACAGCAGAACGGGCAGGTAAGAAAATACTTCTGATATTTATCAGAAACAGCTTTTAGAAACCAGTTTTTACAGCTCCCTCTAGAAAAAAAAAAAAAAAAAAGACACACACAAAAAATAAAGCAGTTTGGGCATAGACCCCAGCCCAGTTCTTCCGCTAGTAAAAACGCTTGTTCCGCTCCTGGCGTTTCTGGAAGACCACAGCTCCCACCACAGCGCACACGATGATGCCCAGCAGCGCGCAGAGCAGCAGCAGGAACACCTTCCAGCCCGTCAGCGGCCCACTTCGGAAATTGCCTGTCGGGTCATCCACGTTATCTGCAGAAACAAGAGATTTGACAAACCTCAAGGTCCCCAGCATCGCGCCTAGAGGGAGGGATTCACAGCTCTAACGCTACTCCCAGAAACACCAGTGCTGCAGCACAGCTCCACCAAGGAGGCCACCGTGCCCCAGTGATGCTGTGGAGTTTTCTGTACAGGACGCGTTTTCTTCCAGTGCACTGGCAGCAACCACCAGCTGCCAGTGTGTGATGCTGGCACCCACATCCACAGCGAGCAGCTGCTACTATCACAACTGAGCTTCCAGCCTTAGCAGAAAACAGACCCAAAATCTGAAATTCCACATCAGGTTTCCGAAGCTCGGAGACTCACCTTTGGGTGACTTAAAGAGGCTGACACTAGGCTCAACCTTGGTCCAGTCAATGTTTTCATCCTCTGGAGAGTGATCCACCATAAGCTGGAATAGCTTCATCGAGATAATGTCATGATTGTCTAGGAAACAACCACCAGCACTAGAGATATCAGAGGCTTTGGGAGATGCCCTCAGAGGGCCCCCTAGGTCTGCACTCTGCCAGGTCCAGGTCTCGTTTCCCCCAAGCCACCCTCACACCCCAGGTATCAAACTGTAGTTTGAGATGTTCCTCCATTTTCAGTTTCCTCCATTCCCAGACTGCTGGTGCAATAGCCAAAATGATTTGAAGAGCCCAGTGGAAAATTCAAGGAAAACAGGCAAGCCACTGCATGCAGCACATTGTATTTCAGGTGCCAGATGGTCGGTATTCCTGGGAGCAAAGCCCACTCACCAGACAAGTCTCCAGTGCCAGCAGAAGCCCCAAAGTAGTAGCCAGTAGGCAGGCGGACCCCTGCAATGTCAATGCAGTTCTTCCATTCGTTCTTGTCTTCCACATCTGTCATCACCTGTAAGATGCACAACAGGAACATCAAAACAGCTCCCTGCCAGCCTGCAGCCCTCCTAGCACAGGGAGTGAGGAGGAGCAGCCATCCCTGGCCAGCTGCTCCCACGTCACCTCTGGACACAGCAACACCCACCCTCAGAACCGCCCCACAGGCCCAAGGGGCCCAGCAGGAGGCACGGGGCTCCCCCCGTCTCACCGTGAGCCGACCCCTGGAGTAGCGAATTGCCAGGAAGGTGTCGTGGTTCTGGTTCCGCAGGTCGGCGGTGCATCCCGCCAGCTCCGTCCAGCGCCCGTCCTTGCTGTGATCGTAAGTCAGGGAGCCGTTATTCACCATGGCGGAGATGTACGGGAAGACGCGCTGTGGGGAGAGAACGGCAGAGCCTGCAGGAGCTTCCTGGGGCAGCTGCCACCCCCTGCATGGCCAGGGCTCAGCAGGGCAATCCCGAGGCAAGAGGGCCACAGCTTTGCCTGCGCTGCCCAGTGCCAGGGGCAGAACAAATCAATCAAGGCTCCTTTTCCACGTGAAGCCGCTTCAGCACCGACTGAGAGCTCGAGCTGCCTGAAGCACAGCAAGTGCTAGGGAGAGCCAGCTCTGGGTCACTAAGCCACCTGTGGCTTTCTGTGCTTGACCAAAGCAAGCTCAAAAACAAACCAACCAACCAACACCAACCCTCATTTTGTGAGGCCCAGATCAACCATCATCCTCTCCTAGAACTTGTCCCCTAGTTAGAAATCATCTGTGCTTTAGATCTTTTTATTACTAGAGCCATTTGCAATCTTCCATATCAAGCACCTTATAGGCCAGGACATTCCACAGCACTGGATAAACTTCCAGGTGGATTTCCCTAACTTTACTTAGTAGGTGGTGCACAGTCAGCACTACCTCTGCACAGCTCTCCAAACCAGCAGAAATAGGGTCTTGGAAACATATCCAAATAGCGAGCAACATCAGAAGATGGAACAAGCCCCTTACCTCCATTAAGGCACATTTGTCCTCTTTCCTTTACCACTTTCCGTAACAGGCAGAAAAGCCTCGTGTAAGGAGAAAAGGCTCCTTGGTCCAGGCATCCAGAACCAAGCGCAAAGCCATGAGGAAGCAGCCTCCACGGCACAGAACGGCCCCCCCCAGCTACTCACCTCTGTTGCTTCGTCATTGGGATATGTATCCAGGAAAATGGCCAATCCGTGAAAGTTATCCTTGCTGCCAAAGACAGGGCCTGGAACAGAGCAGATTACAGTAGTAAACAGAAAGTTTTCAGTTAAAAAAAAATACAGATTTCTGCCACCTTTTAGGGAGCCCAGAATGAAGCAAGCGGAGGAGTAAGACAACCTTTTACTGGGTACTGCAGCGAGCAGCACTTTGTGGTGAGTTTGGCAGCGCGCTGAGATCTGCTCCCCCGGCAGAGCCTCCCGCTCCCAGCGCAGCTGCACGAGGCCACCGGGCACGAGACCCGGGAAGGGCTGCAAGAGGGTGCCCTCCCCATGGGAAAGAGCAAACACCAGCCCCCAGCACAGCCTCTATTTAAAACAGCTGCACAGATCACCACAAATTAAGTCACTGAGCTCAGCTGCTCTCAGGGCAAGAGGCACAAGACACTTGGGAGCAAATACATCGAAGGGAAAGCTCTAGAGAGAAACATTCTGGTAACGAAGCCGCTCAGGACGCGTCTTGGTGCGTGAGGGGGCGGCAGCGCCCGCCGCGCACCTGGCGTCAGCCGCTCCTGCGTGTACCACAGCG